GCGCACTGGTCTCGAATTCCTCAAGACGAAGTTCTGCGTTTTCATGTATTTTCCTCCTGATACCTATCATCCAATCGGCAAGCTCTGATTTTCTGGCAAGATTAAGGAAATTGAGAGGGATTTCTGCCAAATCTTTTGAGCTCAAAGAAGAATCCGATGAAATGGGCATCGGCCAGAACAGTTGAAAAATAAAAATCAAAGAGACCCATTTGGAAAAGGCCATGCTATCACTGAATATGAAACAAGTCTGAGGATGAGCCGACGAAGAAAGTATATAAGCAAGCTCTGAAGAGTCGATGCAGCCATATAAATGTGCCAAATGGGAGTTTGAACAATAAAAACGTAAAACACGTGATCTTTTAGTTTTTACAGTGTTCATCTGAGATAAACTGATGAGATTGGCCGCGACCACGGTCGTAGAACAATGGGGTCTTCTGTTGCAGCCGCCCAATAAACCGCAAAAGGCACGAATACCAGCACCAGCAATAAAAAAAGGCAAATTTGCCGACGTTCTGAATTTCAAAATCAGATTATTTGTTCACCACTCATTTTTTAACTGGTTGCTATAAGCATCAGTCCTTAGAAGCTAAGCTGAAATTCAAAGCTTATGGTTAATGGTTTTCTCAGCATTCTTGGACGCTATATGCTACTTGTGGGTAGATAGTCAGATGGTTGGAGCTGTTCACGTTAGAACATAGACCCGAGGAGATCGGCTTTGCCCTGACTGAAGCCGAACTCAGACCGAGTTTGCTAAGAATTCAATCAAATTTTCTAATGTTGGCTCAAGAAAAAGCTACATGCTCTTATCACCTTTTTCTCCATATAACAAGTTTCTACCCAAAAGCATGCTAAATACTTTTCTTGGGGTGTTATTTAAATCAAATAGTATAAAATTTTCAACCGTCAAAAAATTTAATATTAATTGATAAAAGATCCAATATATGGAGTAAAAGCTGATATAGTCAGTATATTGCCCTATTTGTTTCTAAGTTAGGTCATATATTTTGGCTATATTGGGCTAGGGACACAATAACACACAAGAACCCCCCGTGAGCCTGAGGCCCCACATAACTCCAACTCGTCTTTTATATCAAATATTGGGATCCTCTGTTGAGTCACACCTTTAGACTGTGTTTGGTTTCAAATACAAGGGAAGGAAAATCTTTACAAATATGGTATAAGTTTTGCTATGTTTTCTTTCATTTTCCTAACAGATATAGCTTTAGTTAATTTAGGTTGTGTTTGGATAAATTTCAATTTTATGCTTTTAAAGCCTGATTGTAGGTTTTGTGATGTGGGGCCTAAAGGTGTTTTGGCTTCACATTAAAGTAACTATTACTAAACTTAGAACATTTTTTGCCTCAATTTAACTATGGAAAAATCTATGGGGCAAGAACTAATTGTGAAGCAAAATACTTGAACAAATAATAAAGCAACGTCACAAAGTTGAATTTTTGTCATCGTTAAAAACTTAATGATAAGTATAACAAGTATATCATGTAAAACATGAACCAATGGAAAATAAATATAACATATGATATATTTAATTTGATTGGTTAGAAATTTAACGTATAACAAATATTCAAAATACATGGTAGTTGGACTATTTTATTCATAGCCCAAAGCTCAAAAGCAAATGCTTATCGAAACACTATCTATTCAGGAATAATTTCTATGTTTAAAGCATGCTGCAGAATTTTCAAAAGAAAAAGAAAAATCCCAAAAGGCACATAAGATTAAAAAGTTCGACAAAAGCACCAAACAGATCTAGACTCCATTGTTCCATCAAAAAAAAAAAAGATTTAGACTCTATTGAAATATTCAAAGTTTTTAAAATCGACCCAAACAATGAACCAGTCAGGGGTCCAGTTCTCAAGTTGAACGGTCCGACTGTTCGAATTGAACAATCGGTCCGTTCTAACAAAAAATAAAAAAAGTCAAAACCGTTGAACGGTTCGAACACCCAGTTAGCGGTTTGCTGACTAAATCAACGTTTTTTGGGCAAAAATCTGATTTTGGGGAAAAATAGATTCGGTCATCTGACTGGTTCCTAGTTTTCCTAGTCTAACTATCTGGTCCGGTTTTGAAAACCATGGAAATATTCAAGAGCGCTGTACAAATAATATTTAGGGTAAAATACAAAAAACTCCCATTAAGTTTTTGAGCAACTTGACAAAAACATCTCTTCCATCACTGTTCCAGACGGAAAACATTAGACTGATGCACCAGTTTTTCCAAATGCCCATTCTACCCTTCTATAAATTATTTTACATACAAAATTACTAAAATAACCCTATTTTAATTTGACTAAAACCTCCTTTAACAGTCATCTTCTAATGTTTTTGTTGAATTAAAATAGGGTTATTTTAGTAATTTTGTATGTAAAATAATTTATAAAATGGTAGAATGGGTATTTGGAAAAAATCTGGTGCATCAGTTTAATATTTTCTATCTGGAAAGGTGATGGAAAGGAGGTCTTTATCGAGTTTCTCAAAAATTCAGGGAAGGTATTTGTTAAAATGAAACTATAGAAGAGGTTTTATGATTGTCAAAAACTTTAGGGGAGGTTTTTGTACTTTACCACCCTAATATTTAATTTAACAATACCCCGCAAGTTGAGGATTTGGTAATTGTGAAGAGAATCATAGGAAAGTAATTCCTAACGGACAATATGTAGAAAGAAAAAAGAAATCCTAACAAACAATAAATAGCAAAGAAAAAAAATCCTAATGAACCATAAATGTCACTTGGGTGCTCAGCCAGTCAACATCTATGCTTAATTCTTTGCTTTCTCATGTTAGATTTTTTTTTTATTTAAGCTTTTTTCTTCGGAATCATATTTTTAATAGCATTCTATTCCTTGATCATTTAATTAATTACAACAATGATGATAAATCTAAGGCTTATCCCTAGGGGTGAGCATTTGGTTAAAAACCGAGCTGAATAAATTGAAATGTTAAAAACCGAATTAAAAAATTAAAATCGAACCGAAAATTGAATTATAGAAAAACCGAAGTAATCGAAATCGAATATTTTGATATAGTTTTCGATTATTTCAGTTAAAACCGAATTTTAATAACTTATACTTTATTATATATATATTATAACATATAATATATATTACATATTATAAAATCAAATTTTATTATATTATATATTAATATATAAATATATTATATATTATATTTTATATGTTATATTACATACTATATCTTACATATTATATATTATATATTACATATAATAATAGAAAGCTTGGTTAATTTGGTTAACCAAATTTCTAATTCTAAAAACTGAAACCGAAAACTGAATTAATCGAACCGATTTAACCAAAAACCAAAAAGACCAAACCAGACAAATTGAAACCAAAATTTTGGTTCGATTTTTCGATTTTAACCAAATAGTGCTCACCCCTACTTGTCCCAAGTGTGTAGGGTTGGCTACATGAATAATGAATTCCTCTGTTGTCATAGTTTCAAATCATTTCTTGTTATTTCAATGCATTTCCCTTTCTGTCTACCCTAAGGTTCAAAATATCAATATAGACCAACACACCTATGTGGAATAAGGATGGCAATTTTCCCTATTTTCCCAATCTTCGTGGGGATCCGCCCCAAATGGGGTGGGGATGGGGATAATTTTTCCCATAGGGATCTTGATCCCCACTAATATATATGTATATATGTACATATATGCTTATGTTAATATTCTTAAAAATATGGTTGGATATGTTTGAATCTTTTTTAATAGGATTGTAAATTTTAATTATTTTTATTTTTTGAAATAAAATAAAAAAACAAAATGGTTAACATGTGAGAATCCCCATGGGGATGGGGATTTTCACGAGAACAGGGATGGGGAAAGGCTCCCTATCCCCACCCCACCTTGTTGCCATTCCTAGTAATGGAAACTTGCCTTCCTTTCTTTATAGTTATCTTTATTTTTTCAAACTGTTTTTTCTATTTTTTTCNGGGGGGGGTTATGAGTCAGTTTAAGGGCCTGTTTACGGTTTACCCTCTGAAATAAGTGGGATCCGAAACACTATATATAGGGACATATCGGAAGGGCCCCAATACGCCTTGATATGTGACAAAATTTTAATCCTTAGTCTGCTGCCCTAGTTTCGATTCGAGTCGAAATCTACTACCACAAGACGCTACATCCACAAATCAAGGACCCCAATGTACTCAATATTAGTGATATTTTGTTTTAGATCCACCACTCAATGTATTATTGATTGTTGATCCAGGTGACCACTCAATCTATTGTTGATCCCAGGTGCTTGATTTGTCCGAAGTCCGAACCATCACCCAACAACCATTTTGGCTTGGTTAAAAGAGTGCAAAAACTTCTAAAGGCCATACTTTTGTATTTGCTAGTTTGATTTTTGATTTTTGATTTTTGATTTTTTTTTTCACGATCAGTGCAATGCAATGAGAAAAGGTTCCTTGGCCCAATAGTTTTGTCAAAAAATGTTTCGTTTTTTATTTGTCTCAAATGTCAATCTTTAACTTAACTTTCTTAATTTATAAAAACTATAGTTGAAATAGAAGTATAAAATAAATATAGAAATATTATACATAGAATATAAGAACATTACAAATTGACTCTATTTCGCTCAAACGGTTGAATTGATGACATGCTGCCCCGGAGTGTACTCCAAAACACTGGTTCAAAGTTGCCTTACTTAAAATTTACGATTATCAGCTTTTTATTATTACTCTTATTTGTCACTTTTACCTGATCTTCTGGTGAGTGGTGACAGAAGATGAAGTGGGACTACATGAATTACAGATTTATGCCACCTGTCCACTAGGTGAAAAATATCAGTTGCACATATTGTTTTGTCCTGGTTTATGAGTAAATCTCATCTATCATTCCAGAAAGTTATGACTTATGATACCGGAACCGGAAGAACTTTGATTAATCAAAAACCCCATCAATAAAAAGCTCACACAGTCGAAACTCCAAAAAATATATAACAAAGATCCAAAGAAAAAGAAAACAAAACCGATGGCTAAAATAATCTCCAAAAAAGTTAGAAGAGAGAGAAACGTGATATCAATTTATGCCAAACGAGGGTTGATTTCTTGGTTTATACAACAGATTGTCAATTCCCGCCGCACGTTTACATCAACAAGTAGAAGGTGTAAAACTAAAAACCAGAGGAAAATGGCTACGTTCTGATCAGTTGACAAGTCAAAACCCTCTGCTTTGGCCTCTACATTCTTCATCCTTCCTCTCTCCTTTTTTTTTTTTTCATTCAAGTCCTTGTATATATGGCCCATGGGCCCATGACTGATGCTAATCGGAGTCGCTATCCATGGTCCCCATTGCCTTGAGCCCTCGCGGTCTCTGCCAAAAGCATTCAGGCCCACGTAAGGCCTCTATCCAAAAACACTTTCTTCTTTTTTTATTCTAACTAAAATCACTGGTTTATTAGCATCAACACAAACTCACCTTTTTGGAGATCTTTTTTTCCCTCACCTCGTATCGCTCCAGCGTTAGATCACACAACCATGATCCAGGGCATACCAGCTGCACAAAGATCAATTATGTTGGATAAGAAAAGGATGAACCTTTAACCGTCAGATCGGAACATGATGCGCTACAATAGACCACTCCTTTTATTTTAGCTAAAATCCAGGATCAAGGGACCTGGATACTACATGGTGGGACCACTCATTTGAGACTTTATTTTGCTTTACTTCAATGTTCCTGATCCATCACAACCGTACATTTGGCAAAAGCCAGCTTCCATCATGGCAGTGTCTTGTGCCATCATGACGCTGTACCATAACTGATAACCCGGTACTTGAACGGCTGAAATTAAAGCAATGGGCCATCAAGAGAACTCTCAATCCGATGCCACGTGGCCACCTGTCTTTTAGTGATTACTTTACTGGTCTCACCCACAAAGGGAAAGGAATAACGAAAACCAGGATGCGCACAAAACCACCACCGTCCAAGTCCTCCCTACACTACTCCTTTGTCTCCTCGACATCCCCATCAATTAGATTAAAAAAAAAAAAAAAGATAAAACTTTTTTCACTTAATTTTGCGGGTAAAGCAAGAAGATTAAGTATTATTTTTTTTTTTTCCATTTTCCATTTTCTTCCTTCTAAAAGATATCTTGTGTCTGCCATGCCAAGGTAAGGAATATGTAGAAGTATGAACATTTTGAAATTTGAAGATCTAGGAAATAAATAAGTATATTTCATAAAAAAATAAATAAGAATCTGGGAGGGTGTGAGATAGGGAGAGCATACGTTGAGGGTTCTCTGAATGAACTTGGCTCGCTTCTTGGGCCTCTGGGGCAGCTTAGACCCCTTAATGGCCATGAAATCCTCCTCCTTCTCTTTGTTCGTGAGCGCGATCACGAACTTCGGAGGCCAAACCGGGATCGCTTCGCTCCCCGACGACGAATTCCCTTTCTTGCTATCCTGCGCCGTCTCCGAAGTGTTGTTGTGGTGGTTGTCGTTGCCGTTTTTGCGGTTGTGGTTGTTCTTATGGTTATTCCTGCTTTCCTTCTTATCCTGAGATCTCTCTTCTTCTCCCACTCTGTCTGGAGAAGAAAAGGGAGTCCTTACGCCGTTGCTTTGCCCTTTCATGGTACACGAGGCTTCCGAATTCCTGAAGAAAAAAAAAGGAACACAAACAATGAAACAAATACTCACATCAGATGCAAATGAGAGAACAATAATAAAACAAAGACAAAAAGTGGTTCGGCTATATTAAATTATTAACTGATTATTTAGGAATATGATTTTTTTTATTTTCGTGGTCGAAATTACAGATATATCCTTGGAACGAAGTGATCGATTCGATCGGTGACCGCTGCTCAGTGACTGTGAGGAGGAAGAGGAGTGGAGGAAGCGGGGAAGAGTTGCTTTGATGCTTTCCCTAATTCCCTCTATCTAATTGACCAAGGAAGATCGGACTGTGGCCTGTGGGTGCGATGTTTGGGGGTGAACTGAGAGGAAGAAATTCATTCAACTCAGCGAAATATCAAGTAGCCAACAACAAAACACATGTGAGACGTGAAATAACATTGCATCGGTTGACAAGTCAGGGATCTTTTCCAGCCAAGGACAACGTGGATCAGCCGTCGGATCGAAATTTACTTTCTTGAAACTCGGATCTGCAAACAGAGGACGTGTCCAAACCCAGTTGAATACCGTCCAAGTTGTAAACTGGACCGACTATTATCCACAACTATGGTGTAATGAATCCAACGGTTACGGCTTATGTTAGGTAGTTGGAGTACACATCGCACTAACAACAACATTCCCAATCAGAAAATGGTCGTACAGATCATTTATTTGTATGGATGGATTAGGGTCAGACGATCAAATTCCAGGAGCGGGACATTGGTTGTAATTGTAATTTGCAAAGTTGTATTATCCTCATTCCTCAAAACAAGTATTGTATAATGGTGATCCGTATGCATTTATCCATATCAAAGGTGGGCCCACTTGAACCAAAAAGTGAGCGGTGTACCATTGATCAATTAGATGTCAAGTGGGTCCCATCCAATAGTCCAATACCTATCTACCAAAAAATCCAAGGTTGATTCTAAAAAAAATCCAAAAGTCCATTATCACTCAAGTTAAAATGTTAATAAATAGTGTATGGTTTATCGGAAAATAAGAGACAACTTCCCTCAAAATTTCTGTTTCTCTTTTTCTGATAAACCAAAGAGTCTTAGGGAACTGTGAAATTATGATCTTACCAAAATACCCCTAACATTTAAAATTGATAAAAATTATTCAACACATGTGAAAGAAAATATATTATCTTCTAAAAATTCCTACTTATATTAGTGACAATTAATATTTGGGGAGAGTTTTATAAATTCTCGACTCTAGCCGCTTCATTATACCTCCCAACCCTTACTTTGCCCCATATCCCTAGCAGGTTAGAATTTTTAAAATTCAAACTTTCCTAGCATATGAAAACATAAAACCCTTTCCAACCCTACATTGTCCCACATTTGAGAGTGGGACAAATTGAATCTGAAATTTATATCTAATTTTTTATTATTTCTTATTAAATATGAGTAATAACCAAGTAATATGAGATGAATAAACATAAAACATTTTAATTATTTTAATTAAAACATGCAGGAATCATATAAATTATTAATTATTTTTACATAAAATTCAAAATATTATTAAATTTAACACTTATACATAAATTCATATGCCTTTCAACAATATGTGCTTCATGGAGGACTGACTTTAGTCTAATACGGTACCTTTTTCATATCTGTATGAGTTGTAAAATTCCAAAATCTATTTTCTCAGGCATAAGAAAAAAAAGAAAAACTTACCCCATTGGAATAGGTACCCATAGGGTAGGATAGAAATTGCCATCCATATAACTAATTATAGAAAAATAACATTCGGTTATAATTTGTGCCTACAACACTCATATTTTTCAACAATTTAAGTTTTTAAACGTTAAAAAAACCAACAAAATTATGAATATAATGAATTTTTATACAATACCAGTTTTCTAAAGAATTAAATTCATTTCCATCATTTACAAAAAAAAAATCATTTCCATCCATCTAACATACAAAAGGCAACCTTCACAGTAAATGTAAAGGAAAGGACACCCCCTTTTCCCAAATATACCATAAGTGAACACCAAAACGCAATGAATCAAAAGCAACTGGTCTTCTGGCTAGGAATGAAAGATGGCCAAATCGACCCTCCAATCCCCTATATAATAAGCAAAAAAAAAATAATATAATAAAGAAGGCCGTACCCATGGATCCGAGTCCAATCCATCCCCACATATTTGGTTGGCTAATTGACTCGATTAGTGAGATGGTTTTCAAAGGGAAAAAGGACAAACATGGATCTCAGATGCCAAGCTGATGTGGTGCATAAGAATTCAAAGTGCTTTTTTTTTTTTTTTTTTACGGCTAAGAAAGTTAAGGACTCGTAGAGGAGAGTTAAATAACATATTATGGAATCAGAAATCAAACAAGTGGAGGGTCGGACTATTTTCAGAGGCCTTCATCAAAAGGGGCCCATACTCCTACTGTATTTATTTTCAAGATCAGAACACCGTCCAATACTCCAATTCAGATAGAACGGATTGGGAGTCATGGAATTGGGACTTGGGAGGTAGGTGGTGGGACCATAGATTGGAATGAGAAGAGTCTGCATCTTCGTGCACATTGGATGTTGTCAAAACAACAATTCTAGTGTCCAAATTGATTTCTCCAAAATGACGGAAAAAAAAGACTATTGAGGTGTGTGTAATGTACCTGAGAATGCGATGAGTCTGAGGAGACGAAGGTGGAAGTCGACGGAGGTTATGATGATTGGTGGTGGCGGTGGTTCGATTTGAAGGCTCTCTTTCGGTTCTAACGATGCGTCGGTCGACTCGAACCCTAGTCTTATCGGTGGAGTTGTCTTTAACCTGAATCTTCATACACCGGAGCCGCTTCCGGTTGCCCCACTGCAATACGAATTCCGTTGTTGTTTCAGGATTCACTCCACACACTCCCTCCCCTGGCTGATTACTGCTGTTATTGTTCTTCACTGAATCTCTCTCCATCGCTTTTTTCCCCTACATAAACAACAACAGGATAGAAGTATTCATCAACTTCCGTCAGCTTTTTCGTGTGACCGCATTTCCTTGCCTTTGTTTCTCCTCTAAGCCATCCTAATTCTCTTTCAATTTGCAGATAAAAATCAAACAGAAAACAGGCCAAAGAACAAATAATTGAACAAATCTGTTTGTCTAATTGAAGGAGCAGAAGCAGTAGCGGGAGAACGAAAGTAACTAAATAAGATCTAACACAATGTTTCTATCTGATTTATCTAAATAATTGAAAACTTAACAAACAGATTACCAAATCCCCAAACAGGGACTCTTCCAAAGTTCGAAGGGGTGAATCATATGGGAATGAAGAATGGATAAGAGAGAATAAAAAAAAAAGAATTTTAAAATGTAAGAGAGAATTCCAGACCTTTAGTAGATCAATAGAGGCAGCTTCAACACAAAAAAAAAAGGAATAAATTAAAAAAAAAAAAAGATCGAAATAGACTTCTCTTCTATAGTTCTATAAAAATGAGCTTGCGGCCACCAAGCCAAAAATAAAATAAAAAAAAAGTATGAACCCGAATTCAGTCTTTAGATATCCTTTAATAATAAAAAAAACGAATACCTATAGCCAGAGGAGATAGCCAGCACATGTACATTCTCAAATAGTTCTGAATGAATCTTTGTTTTCAAAAAAAAAAAAAAAACGAAAAGGATTCCTAATACGATGAGAAGGATCTGAGAGAAAGAGCGAGTGAAAGAGATCTCTGAAATAGTCACATTACCTGGAAGTACGAACTTCGTCCCAGGATCTTGATTTATCAATTGAATTCTACAAGGAAAAACCAACTCCTCTCAAGCACTGCAAGCGAGTTTAAACTGAGGGAGGGGAAGGAAGATGGATGAAAGATAGGTCAGAGGAGTTTCGTTTCGGGCCTTAGGAGAACAAGACAGAGCATAAAGATTTTCACCGTATAAAACAACGGTTTCCCACTCAGGCACGTTGGATTTATCAAGAGAAAAACGCAATTGAAGACAATATCCTCTCAATTCTCAGTTTTCCAACTCTGCAAAACCAAGATCAAGAACAGAATTCTAACGGACCCGCGACATTTGAGTGCTTACAAGGTCGACTGTCATTTTGATCTTTCAAAACCAGAAATCTTGCAAAAGACTCAAATTTCTCTCGATACCACACCTCCAATCTCCTCAAAGTGAAACTGCAAAACCAAAACCGAAACAAAATGAACAAAGAATGCTCGTCGGAGTGTCATTACAAAAGCAAATACAAACTTAAATTCTGCTCTGCAAAACAAACCTCTGCACTTGGATTCTTCCCTTTTTCTCTGAAAATTCATCAAGGAAGAAGGGGAAATGCTAACAATTAACGAAAGGATATGTTTTGGTTCTTCATTGTCATCTTGGCCGAGGCCTCCAGAAGAAGGGAAATTAATGGTGAAAAAGCTCAGAAGAACAACTCCTGATCGTTTACGAATAAAAAAAAGGAAAGCCGCATCAAATTCCTCACATTGTTCTTCTTTCTTATTTTCTCCACGAGTTTTCTGTACCAGTATCAGAAGAGTTCATGAATTGAAACAGAAAAACGAAGTAATGGGGAGAGAACCAGAGAAAAAGAAGAAGAGGAAGAGAAAGAGAGCGGCCGAAGTCCAAAACCAGAGCTTGTGCCAGTTTATATACCCTCCGTTTCCCGTTTATACCTTCTTCCCTCACCGTTATTGCAGAACCGTTTGACCACCTGCAACATCGAAGAGTTTTGGCCGTCCGTTCCTCATCCGACCGCTCTAATCTCGCAATCATGTCCTCGAGTTACGAGGAACGTCACGGCGTTCGTTGTGTGCTTCTTGTAGACATGGCGTGGCAGCTAGGTATTTGACGGCGTTAATAATGGATCTGATAGCTTCTTCGACGCCGTTAATTTTCCGTTTCTTAAATTCATCTCTTCCTCTTGGAATTTTCTCTCCCTGCCAACTAACTAAACCTTCTAGCACATAGTTTTGAATAGTCCTTTTGTAAGGTTACGTGTCTTATGCACCGCACACGAGGGCCGTTCAACCTACGGGCTAGTTCGTGAGAACTGGCGTTACTGGGTCCTCTACCAAAAACAATCTTGTCATCTTGTGGGCGAATCTCATCATCACGTCCATCCAAATTGGATTTTAGTTAAGAAAATGGACGGGTCAAGACATGGCAAATCGCGTAAAGTTCCAATCAGACGGCAGTGGATGAAGAAGGACGTATAATTGCAAGAGGCAAACGACCGAGCTCATTGTGACGCAATTGCGAACGTAAAGTAAGTTAAAGTGTGTGACAAGGAGTCAAGGACCAACATAAGATCTTTCGGATTATTTTCGATATCATTGACCAAGGTCGATGATGAGAACATTGGAACATGTATGAGAGAGAGGATTGAGAGTACATACAAATGTGAAATGTCTTATTAGCAAACAATTACGCGCTAAATCCCTTGCTAAGGGAGCTAGCTCCGACGATTGGTGGGAATCGTGGGACAAGCTTGAGCTGAGGCCTTCTCCATCTCCTTCTTCACAACACCCGCATTGCAGATATCGGCAAAGGGGTCGCATGTATTTCATCCCATGCTCAACGTGTCTCAAATGCCCTCACCTGCACATTTCATCAAACACAACCTTCAGAGGCTGACCATCATCGGCATTCGGCAGAGACCCCAGAGTTGGTTTTCTCTGTCAGACTCAAACCATGGATGACTGAGATCAAATGTAACCATTAGGCTATGTTTGGATGGATAAAAAGTAGGTGTACAACCGAAAGTTGAGATAAAAGTTATTAGGAAATTTCACTTTTATCACGCACTACTTTCTGTTACTCTCTTGCTTTTTATAAAAACCAATACACACTTGATTAGGATTTTTCATGGAAGTGTAATATGTTAGTGGGGATGATGGAGTCCCCCTCCCCCTTGCCCAGGAGGGGAGTTCACTTTTGCTACCACAATGTTGTAAGCACACGGCGAAAACCGAGAATCATGGATTTATTGTTATGACGTTACTTCATCTAATTCAAGGTGCGGCCATATCAATACATCAAAGGGTTTGATTTTGTTGTTTCGGCACAGCACAGAAGTGATTTTGCACTGTAGGGGCTAAAGTCACATCACCAATACCTTCAAAAAAAAAAAAAAATTAGCCTTAATGCTAAGGAATGGCTGATCATTAGGCCTCTTACCATAGTCCTAAGGAAAGCCCAGTCACCTACAGCAGGCTGCCCTGCAGGCCGAACAGTGTTTGCTGTTTAGCACGTCAGGGCCTTTTGCATTTCCGAACAGAAACTTCCCAATGAGCTTAATGCTATTGTCTATGTGCCTCGGCAGGATTGGTGCCCATATACAAGGCCAGAGGCGCCTCGCTAAGCCCTAAATCCCCATATTGCATCAGCATCACATGTGAACCGCAAGTGTAATTCTTAGTTGCAACCCTCGTTTTAACCTGCACAAATTCTCACACAAGCAAAAGAAAATCCTCAAATCGACCAGAGACAAAATTAACATGGAAATGTAGTTTGTTAAAAAGTAAGAACATCCTCTGAGCAGGAAAGGATCCAGCCCACATAATAGCATCCATACAGCCCTCAGCCCCTCACTTTTAAGGATGCACACTGGACTTTGGACATTCGTTTTCTTGGAGCCAACTCAGGCCATACCTGGAACTTCGAACCCATCCTTAGGTTCAGTCCATGGCCTCGACTCAAGCCCAATTCGAGCCAGATGTGACCTAATTTTCTAGGCCCAGGACCAGAACCACGTCTAGATCAAGCCCCCAAACCCAACCTGTGCAGTGTGCACCCCTTCGGTTAGAGTAGGGGTGTCAATTGAACTGGATTTGGTCCAAACTGATCCAGTCCAACGTGAATCCATTACGAATAGACCAGGTCCAATCTGTCCAATGAATATTTTGGATCATTTTGGACCAATCCAATTCAATATCTGAACCGTTCAAATTCGTTTTAATTTAGATTGTTTCCAACCCAAACCTGGTCCATCAACACCAATATTCTTATCTTATATTAATGGACCAGATATTGGCTCAGTTAAACCCAATCCAACATAAAATTCATTATGGATGGACCGGGTCCAATCCAATCCAATAAATACTTTGAACCATTAAATTTGGATTGATTCAATTCAACATGTCTTGTTAGTCCATCCAATCCGTTAAATTGATTTTGGTTTGGACGGGGTCCAACCCAAAACCGGTCCATTAACACCTCTACGTAGAGTACATAGTTGTCACTAGGTAAGAATACAGTATAATAAATACTCTATGGGTCCTGTCCATCAGAAAGGAGATTCATTCTTGTTTTTCCTCCAAGAAATTTATACAAGTGCAAAGTTAAGAGTCTTTACCACTTGATACCGCTGCTTCAGACTCAGTCTTCAGATTGTATTTGTCACTGTACATGAAGTGAAGAGGTTATACAATATACAGCCAAAAATAAGGCAAATTAAACACAACAGTGCAAATAGATTCTGCAAACAAACAGAGCCTAAATAATAACATTAAAATCTCATAGATTTTGGCTGAACTAAAAAATAAAATGCAAACCTGTCTTCCAGCCATGCAACACTATACAAGTCCCCCAAACAGGTATGATATTCTGGTGGAGGATTTGGAGAGCCTGGACAGTATGTTGCCCAACTACTTTCTTTTGCATTTGCTGCTGTAGTTGCATAGATATTTAATCCCTCTCGAAGGAGACCTTAAAAAATACTCCCAGACTCACGAGCTTCAAGATAAAAGACCTAACAGTTTTGCAGTATAATGGTCCATGATCAAGTAATTTTACCACAAACCATATGTATTAAGTGCAACTTAATATAATGAGTAAGTTACCAAGCTCTTATAGGTTCCTGAAGCATGCTTTTTCTTTAGAACTTCAATCAAATCATTGGCAAACATGTAATGATCGTTTGGCATGTCTGTTTTAAATCACAAAAAGGACATTGAAGCGACAACTCAGCATTAGTCCAGTGCGACCAAGTGACGGGCCCATAAAGCAGCTCGCTATATTGTAGCTCACAAAAAGAGGAGTTCATCACAACACGAGCTCCGGGTTCCCCGAGCTACCTTTGAAGGGATACTCCGAGGCAACTTTAGCTCGCGAGCTAGGGGAACTAGCTCGCCCGAGCTCCCAAGCAGACAAGTCATCCCAAGGACCAATTCTATTAAGGATAATCCTGAAGTATTCCGAGCTCGCTACAAAGTAGCTCGCGAATGAGCCACGTGAGCACTCCTCAGGAAGCTTCTATCTGACAGGCCGTACCGACCGGACTGTGCCACGTCCCTTACTGACGGCGCAATTTTTGTCCTTTCGACAGTCTGCGTCCACGTCTCTCAGCAGGTGGAGGCGTGCCTGCCACTTGTGAGACGTGTCACTCACTCGAGCGAGAAGTACGTCACAACAGCCACCTGTGCAGCCCTGGCAGGAAACGGCTGTGGCAGGATCCCAATGGCGGTTATGCCTGACCTGACATGAACGCCCCTATAAAAGCCCTCAGGGCAGAAGAGAAACTTCTTCTTGAGACTTCTAACTCTCGAGAATAGTGATAATGCGCTATCTGCACTCTTAGCCTTCGTCTTCTCCTTGCTTCTCCTGCAGAGTACTAACTTAACCATCAGAGTGTTCCCGCCGGGTGGCCCCTGTGGATTCTTCTTCTTCTTCATCTCAGGTATCTTCCAGGAGCCACGTGAGTGCCAGGTAGGAGTGACCGGATCGCGCTACATCATTTGGCGTCGTCTGTGGGATACGCTTTGAAAAAGCCTTTCTCTAAACCTTCACAACTCTTTCTTCCTTGAAAACTTGACACTCATGGCTTCCTCAAGCAACATCAGACGAAGCATGAAGATAGATAACTCTAGGGAACAGCCTCAGCTTCCTATTGTCTGCATCAAACGTGCCTCTTATAGGGGCACTTGTCGTTGCTCCACTCTCTACTACAATTGGAGCAACCATCACCGAACCCTCGGTTGTGCCCCCAGTGGCCAACCCGAATCAACTGGAGGACTTGGTGCAGAGCATGCAGGCCCAAATGCAACAATTTCAACAGTTCCAACTCTATCAGCAATAGGTGCTACACCAGGTCTCCCAATACCAGTATCAGCAGCAATTCTCTCAGCTGCCTCAACCCTAGCTTCAGCAGCCGCAACTCCCTTCTCGGTACCCAGCCTCACAGCGAGCTAGGTCTCGCCGTCAGGAGGAGCACCTTTCTCGCCAAGGAGAGGCCCCCTAGAACCCTCCTAGGAGCCAAGCCTCCTCCCGCGGCAGACAAGAAAGACCGGCCACTCTGGTCTCACCGCGGGCAGTCAGGTCGGAAGGACCTCAGCTCGCCAAGTCCATGTCGCCTAAGCCCTCCAAGCCCGATACCCTGTTCCTAGAGAACCGGTTCGAGATTCTGGCCGCAGGCTCTAAGCAGGATCCCTCTGTCCGCAGTCATCACCAGCGGCCTGAGCTACTCCCTACGCACACCATTCCTAACAGTATAGAGGTGAGCAGCACCATCGTCGAGCCCACCAAGAAGCAGAGACGCCGCCGCCGCCGAGCTCGCCGATCTGCCACCCACGACCTGCCCGAGCTCGGAGGCAAGCTCAGGCAAAGTCAAGGATCCCCTCCTTTCAGTTCAATCTCCC